CCCCAAAAAAGTGGCAGTGCTTGTGAAGGAATTTGGAAATGTACAGCATGGATTTTAGACAAGCTGCAGTTCTGGGAACCATTTGTGGGGAAAAGATCCACTGCCTCAAGCCTAGAAGCTGTGAGTATGCACAAAAAATAAGTAGATGATAGTGAAAAACTGCTATATTATATCCATAAGCACTTGTATTCCACAACATTCCTATGGAAGTAACTATCTTTTAGCTAAATAAGCAGCTATTAATGAACAAGTTTACAGTTACACCATAGAATCTTGCCGAGGGACAAATCCCTTTGTTGTTGAGAAATAGTCTGTGAGACATTGGCGTTGCCTTTTGGCAAGTGCTGTTGGATTTTTGTCAGCAGTGGGGGATATTCCCCCTTGGGTTCACTTCTATAAGAATCTATATACCATGTGAGTTCCAATAATGGATTTCTACCCCCTTATCTCTGACATAATCGGCATCCCAACACACCCTTATCTCTGAAAATATGGATATGTTACACCTCTTTACTCTGACACAAAAGAAATGTTAAATTTAATTAGCACTATCAACCTTGGCAATAGATTGGATAAAAAGTAAAATGTAGATTGCCTCAATAACTGACTCCAATAATTAGAAAAATATAATCATAAGAATTAAAAATGTTGATTTTGGTGCTGCAAAAACCTATTTTCAGTTTTGATGCTAATGTGCACCCGATGTGAAATTCATGCTGAAGACATGTCAAGGTCACGTCAGAAGTGTGAAGTGTGAAGGAATGCTAGGATAATGGAAAGAAGAAAAAATCTGAGCTAAAGATCTTAATCGATGAAGGCTAGTGCTTAGAATACCAGAAAGTACAAACAATAGTAGTCTGTTAAAAAATCCATGTTTATCAACAAGTCAAGCTGAAAACCTGGAACATTTCAAGGTTGTGGAAGTTGTTCTGCAGTGTTTCCCATACTCGTACCCAAGATAGTACACTGTTTCTCCACAGTTGCCCACATGCACATATTTCAATTTGCTCTTGCATACACAAGAACTTGTGGAGACTTTCCATACTCTGCAGATTGAACTTTGCAGGTGCTACTTAACCTGACTCAATCTTTCTCTTTCAAGTAAGCACCTTTCAAGTAGCTTTTGTTATCATTACATTCACTATAAAAGACAATCAACAACACTTCATATCAGGTTAGCTTAAAGCTTACTTATCAAGCCCTTTTGACCACGCCCAAAAATATACCACACCCTTTTGACCACGCCCAAAAATAAACACCCATTTCTTATTTATGAAAATTTATTCATGGTAAATCAAACATAGAGAATTGGAACAAATTTTGATCAAACCTAGTTCTTTATGTGATGGTTAAAGTGTCTATGCAGCGAAATTTTATGTCCTGCTTTTTTTTAAGAGTTATATTCTCCTATCTTTTCTGATACGTTTGACACCAAAATTGTCATAATTTGACCAGCAAAAGTGTGTTTAATCAGTGTTTGAAATTAGGTAGTGCTTGCGAAAATCAAGGACAGTTTGTGATGTCACAGTGATGAGTCTGGTCGACAGCAATCAGGAAACTGCTGTTGTACAGAATAGGTTCTAGTGAGGGAGATATGAAGAAGAATAGACCACTTTTGCAATGACGTCATAAGGTTTTTTAAAATGAGGTGCGAAATTGAAAACGAGAATACCGATGTTCCAGTTGCCTTGGCATTTTCGCACAACTTTTATGCACCGATCTTGTTTGGAAAATTAGAAGCGTTTGTTTGATTAATCTCGAGCAGTTAAGATCTTGAAATGGAAGAGTTTCAATCGTTGCTTCCTGAAAGAAAAGTTGTCGAGTTTTTGGAAGATTTGGGGTCATTAACAGTAGCGGAATTGAAGAGCATTTTGAAGCGCTACAAGGAAAAAACATCCGGTGTTAAGGCTGATCTTGTTGTTCGCAAGTTTGCCATATTTTGCAGTGCAAAAACATTTAGTGTGCATTCTGAAGATGTCTTGGATGAATCCTCTCTCCTTTGCCACGAGAAAGAATACACGTACGAAGCTTTCTATCAGCAATGTCAGCATCTTCCATGGACATCTGACCTACGTGGAACACCGGCTTTTAATTTTCTGCAGTTGTACGAATATTTGGTTATTAGAACGTCCAAGTTCAAACACATTATTTTGAAAAGTACTTCATACAAGAAGCTGAAAGCTTTCCAGTTCTTTTATGAAGGGTTTATAAAGAAGATTGACGTTGCAACAGATAACAACTTTTCTTATTTTGATGTCAGAGTCAAAGCTTCAATGAAAAAGTGTTTATACATAGTAATTTTAAAATTGTCAATCAATTCTAATGATGTTTGCTCTTCTGCATGTACTTGTCCTGCTGGTATTGGTCTTGGTGGTTTTGGCAACTGTAACCATGTTGGGGGTGTTCTCTTTGCTCTTGAAGACTTCAACAGACGTGGATTACGAGAGTATCCATCTGCTGTATCATGCACTTCAAAGCTGTCTTCTTGGAATGTTCCAAATGCCACTACTCTTAAATCCATCAATCCCTCTCCAATAGATGAAGTGATAATACAAAAAATCAAGTTTGGAAAGGACAATGATAAAAGTAATTTGTCTCACTATAAATCCTTTGATCCACATGCTCCATCTGATAAAGCTATTGATGATAAAAGACTTGAAGCCCTTAAAAACGAAATTGGCAGAAGCTTTACCAAACAGTGGTTTTTTGGCTTTCATGAAATTTCTGAACCTGCAGATTCTGACACAATTGCTTAAACTGAAGCCACTGCATCCAGTCCTGAACATCCTTTCTTCTATGAATCCATCTTCTTCAATGAATATTACGATATTTCAGCTTCCTCCTTCAAAGAAATGATGGACATTTATTGCCAAAACACAACATTGTCCCAAGAAGAAATTTCTAATATTGAAAAAACAACTCATGGTCAAGCTTCAAATGATGATTGGAAAAAGCATCGTATGTATAGAATCACTGCATCCAATTTTTACTCTGCTGCTGTAAACTCTGTTGAACCTTCTTCCAAGCTTAACTCCAATCTCTGCCAAAACTCCTTGGAACACCTACGTATTTTGCTAATTTTTTGCTTTTTTCGTATATTTCCCGTGTTTCTAATAGACAAACCCCCCTCCCCCCCTAAAACAATGTTGCTTACAATGCAGTTTATCAGGGCGATCGGTAGAAAAAGGTTTGCCACAAAAGTTTGTCTTAACTTAGCTGTGAGACAACATTGTTTGAAGGGGGGGAGGGGAACCGATGCATGAAAACGTTGAAAATATTACAAGTGTTCCAAGAGTTTTGGCAGTGATTGTCTGAAACCTATCTGGAATATCAAAAGGTACAGTAAAATAAACATGGGGTAACATAGGGTTTTCGATGGTGCTGATTTCAAATCTGTTAAAAAAATCGCGACTTTTTAATTTCTTTCTTCAGTTTGGGGGTAGGGGGGGCTTTAGCCGTTGTTTTTAACAGTAGTAGATGTTGTCAATAGTTTCATTCCGTTATTTTTCATTACTTAGTTACAAAATTTAGTGTTATTGCAGTAGTTGTGTAGAGGAATTTGGTAGATATGAATGCGTTGAAAGCGTGAATTGTTTTCATGGCACCTTTCCTTTGTGATGATCGATTTCCCTTAACACAACAGATTACAGCATTTTTATGACGCAAATCGGCGCCATTTGTATCTTGAGAAAGATGTTTCTTTTGATATTTCCAAATAAGGAAACACCAATAAGAGATAAAAATAGAACCATAACTGTAATTGCAAGTATATAAAAGAGAGAAAGAGCCGATAGGCAGTTTAGAGTCTACAAGAAATCATAGCGATATTAGGAACAATGGTCTTCCATACGATGATTAACCAAAGGAAAAGAGCCTATGCATACTATCTGCGAAAAGACAAGGGGCTGTCTTATCGCAAAATTGCTGATGTTTGTAAAATTTCTCCATCAAGTGTTGTTCGCATTTGTCAGGAGGGCTTGAACGGGAAGAGGAAGACAAAGAATAAAGGTACAGGCCGACCTCCAGTTTTGAAAGAGAGGGAAAAAGCAAAGTTTTTAAGAACTTTCAAAAAGATGAGAGATGAAAATGCAAATATTAGAGTGGTGGATATAGCAAGAGAAAGCCAAATAACGGACGTTAGCTACAGAAGTTTGGTCAGAATATTGAATAAAGCTGGGTACAGATGCTTACGACCCAGACGTAAAGGAGTTCTTTCAAATGCAGATAGAAGACACAGAATTCGTTATGCAAGGGAGGCATTTAAAAAGTATGACGAGAATTTTTGGACAGACGACGTCCTGATTTACTTAGATGCTGTTTCATTGATACATAAACAGAACCCTTACAGGGATGCATTAACGCCGAGTGGAAGAGTTTGGAGAAAAACAAATGAGGGTCTGAAATACACCACGAAAGGAAGTAAAAGCCTACCAGAGGGTCGAAGATGTCATGTTATGGTGGGCATTGCATTCTCATCAGGCGTCATAATTGCTGAAGAATATGACAAGATGAATGGACCTTGGTTTGCAAAATTTGCTGAAGCAACATTACAACAGGCACTGTTAGAGTGTGCTTTTTTAAAAAATAAAGAGAAACTGCTTTTTGTAATGGATAATGACCCTAGCCAGAACAGTAGAGTAGCCAAAGATGCCCTACAAGAAATTGGAGCTGAACTTCTCAAGATACCACCAAGATCACCAGATCTGAACCCAATAGAAAATGTTTTCCACAACGTTAAAAGGAAAATTTTGAAAGAAGCATTGCAGGAAAGGATAGAGAAGGAGGATTTCACAGCTTTTAAGGAGAGGGTGTTAAGCCTGGTTTCCATATAGCCGTAAGGCTGCCTGCGGCTGCCTGCAACCGCTTTCTGCCATCTTCCATCTTCCACCGTTGGCAAATGGAAACGTTTTGTTTGCAATTGCCTGCGGTATCGGTAACTATGCCGGTAACTAGGTAAAGTTTGAGCGGGAAAAACTGGCGGCCAAAATTCAACAACAAACATGGCTGCTGCAATAAACGGCCGATTATTGCTTCAATATGAATACATATTGCTACTTGCTTACATGAGACACAGAAGAAGGCGCAATAAAGTTAAGAGAAAACACAGGTTTTGGGTGAGACGTATTTTTCAGCAGAGAAGCCAATGCGGCCAGTACACAAACTTGTTTGCCGAACTAAGACTTGGGGATAGAGAATATTTTTTCAGGTGCTTGCAAAATTATTTTCACTTCGATATTAAATTTTTGTAGGCCTGTTACATTTATGCATAACTCGTTTTTTATAATTGACTTGATAATTGGTGTACATTTGGTTTAATTTTGTTTCAGATTCATGCGAATGACACCTCAGCGATTTGAACATTTGCTGACTTTGGTTGCACCATTTCTCAAGAAAAAGCATTGTAGAAGTAGAGTCCCGATTTCACCAGAAGAACGATTGGTTGTGACAATTAGGTATTTAGCCACTGGTGATTCCCAGCAATCACAATCATTTAATTTTAGATTAGGAAAATCTACAGTTTGCCAAATAATAAAAGAAACATGCGATGCTATTTGGAATGCTCTGAATGAAACTTTTCTTTCTGCCCCCGAGAAAAAAGAAGATTGGGAGAAAATTGCAAGCGAGTTTGAAGATAAATGGAACTTTCCAAACTGTTTGGGGGCCCTGGATGGCAAACATGTAGCAATGGAGTGCCCTAAAAACCAAGGCTCAGCCTGCTACAACTATAAGGGCTTCCACAGCCTGGTTTTGCTGGCCGTGTGTGATGCCAATTACTGTTTTTCCCTTGTAGACATTGGGGGCAATGGGGGAGATAACGATGCCTCAATTTTTGCACAGTCAGAGATGGGTATGGCTTTCAACAACAATGAAATTGATTTCCCAGAACCTAAAACAGTAAATGGCCACAATCTACCACATGTGTTGGTGGGAGATGAAATATTCAAATTGGAGACATGGCTAATGAAGCCATATCCAGGGAGAGACCTTACACCCGATAGATCAGTTTATAATTATCGGCTGTCAAGATGCCGGAGAACAATAGAAAATACATTTGGCATTCTTTCTGCTAAATGGCGCATATTTAGAAGACCCATCCGTGCAAGTATCACAACAGTTGATAGAATAATCAAAGCCTGTGTGTGCTTGCACAACTATCTCAAGCAGTTAGAGAATGCCAATTACACACCTAGGGGATTTGTTGATTCAGAAGATGCAAATGGAAATTTCCTTGCTGGCACTTGGAGATCTATTGTATCAACAGATGAGTCAGCTTTACATCCCATTAAGAAAAGAAGTTGCAATAACTTCAGCAAAAGTGCAAAAGCAACAAGGGACAGTTTCAAGACATACTTTAATAGCAAAGCTGGCTCAGTTTTCTGGCAAAAAGAACATGTAGAAAGTTGTGGTGACACATTAATATAAACTGCATAAACAAAATAAATCAATTAAACAAAGCTGTATCAATATTGTTTGTGTTTAGTTACTGTTATTTGTGTTTAGCTCAAATCAGTGTATAGCATATGATTACTGCTACCATGTGTACTTGCTTCTGGGGTAGCCTCTTCTAGGAAGGCAGCATGTTTACCTGGTGTCTGAAATGGCACTTGGAGTTGTTGATATGGAGAATTCTCAATTCTGTTTCCATCCCTAGGCACAGGCCTTGGGATAAAGGGCCTGTTTTGATTCAAGCTTAACTGCTGTTGATTATTTGGTGAAACATTATGGAGAGAGCCAGGCAGATTTCTGTATTGGTTGGGTTGTTGCATCATTGGAAATGAAGCCTTTGACCACTCTATGTCATTGAAAACTTTCATAATATTCAATTTTGCCATTGACTTTAAACGAGGCTCCAGCGATTTCAATTGACCCACAAGACTCAAGCAGAAGTACTTGGCCTCATCTTCTTCTTTTCTCAAATCTGCTTCATTTTTTTGCTGGTCAAGTCTTTTGTGAAGACCATTCATTGCCTTAAGAAACTGTTGATCCATTTCTACAGAACTAGGCGCTTTTACATCATTAGACCAGGCCTTTCGCATTGATTTATTTGGCCTTTCTTCTCCAATTTCTTCTTGCAAAGATGTCTTCTTTTTCTTGTTAATAGATGATGCCCTTGAAGATGTCCTGGAGCTACCAGTTTCATCTTCACCTTGTAAAGAAATTGTGTCATTGTCATTGCTTGCATTCTCATCTTCACAAGTTTCCTTGCAGGATAAAATTTCATCTAAAGGGTCAATTGATGATCTTGTATTCACAGAGTCAGTTAAACTTTCTTCTACACCATCAAAATTATAATTTTCATCCTCGACATCTTTTGGTCCAACTTCATTGCAAGTTTCTTCCTCTGATTGCTGGTCTGCATCAAGGGTTGGCCTAGGCTTTCTCTTTATGTTTGACGTACTTTCCCTGTGTTTGATGTGTATCAATAGCCACCGAAGATGCTCGAATTCCTCCCTTATTTCTGGCAAATCAGCCCTTCCGGATCCTGATCTAGCTGAAGCCCTCATTCTCTTTATGTATTTGGCAAAATTTGTTCTGATACTGTTGTACCTTCTTTGCGCTTCGTCAATGTCAATTCCAAGCTGTGCTGACACTTCTTTCCATGCGTTTTTTTTCTTTTGAGGAACTTTATAGCCCTTGCATTTCTTGTCGTATATGGAACGATAATTTCTTATGCAGTCCATTAGTTTTTCATTACTAATTTCTGAGATCTGTTCCGAAGTTTCGACTACGAAAGACGAGGACAACGCCATGTTTTTTGGAAAGATGTGAAATTGAACAACAACAACATTTTCCAAAGGCCCTCTTTCAATTGGTTCTTTCACATCACATGATTCGTTTGAACAAAAGAATGCCGCAGGCAGCCGCAGGCAAGGCGTTTCCATTTGTAATTTGTCTGCCGGCGGTACCGGGAGGCTGGCGTAAGAGCCGGGAAAAGTTGAACTCGTTCAACTTTCTCCCGGCTCTCCCGGCAGTCTTACGGCACTTCAAACAGCTGCCTGCGGTACCGTTAGAAAGCGTTTCCATAAAGAATTATCTGCCGGCGATACCGTAGGGATGGAAGATGGAAGATGGCAGAAAGCAGTCGCAGGCAGCCGCAGGCAGCCTTACGGCTATATGGAAACCAGGCTTTACGGACACTAGCCAATTGCAGTGGTTCACTCATTGACGGAACTATCAAAACTATGCATAAACGTCTAAAAACGTTAACTACAAATGGAGGATACAGAACAAAATACTGAAATAATGTAAATTTGTATATAGTTGTAAACATATATTTTTATAAACAGCTGAGTAAAAAATGACATAGCTAAAAATGCATACGTAAATCACAAACAAGTAGAATTTTTTTCAGCGTGTTGCTCCTTCAAACCTACAGACATCAGCAAGGTAGAGAAAGTGTTTTGTGATTCCTTAAGATTTCATGCTTATCTCTGCTTTTGTGTGGAATCTTCAACTTAATCATAGTAGAAGATTGGCATCTCAATATATTTCAATACTTAAAATCATTAGACCTTACACGAAATTGAATTGAAAACTATTGGTATTCAATTGTCGTAGGGCCATCTCGTAGTCCGAAAATGTCTTCCCCACGGTTAACAGTCACGGTTAACGATTTTTAAAATGCCTGCAAAAGTTGTGTTGACGAGAAAAAACAATCCAGATTTTGCCAAGAGGTGTGCAATGTATGTTTCAAATGCTCTATAAACTTTGACTTGGATTTCGTACATGCGAAAGGAGAAAATTGAGAAACAGTCCACGGTCTACACTTTTCTTGAAAATTGAATTTGATATGATCTAAGACTATTCCATTTTCAAGTGTTAACCGTGAGTTTTTGCAAATCTTTTCATTTTCAGGCATTAAATTCAGGCCAAACGTAGATTTTTGGGAAGATTAAATTAGAAGACACCTTGTTGAGGAGCTTTGGGGCGAAAAAGTATCTTAAATAACGAATGAGATGAAAAAAACAGCCACGGTTAACACAACGGTTAACAGTCGTGCCATGTTTCACATCAACAGGGAAGCCTTGCAAGGCCTTGCCCCTGCCAAGGATGCCTTTTGTATCAAATAATGCCTATTGTGATTAACAATTGCTGATGATGCCTAATGTCACAAGATCATTTTGGCAAAACAATGACCACAGGCAGGAACACATTTCTGCACCCGTTCATCAAACTGATGTTTGAATTTGAATATTCCCCAACGAACGTTCATCATCTCTGTCTCTCTCTCATCTAACATGGAGCCTGCGATGAAGGAAATTGGAGCCTTTGATGTGGCAAAGACAGGAGTGTTCTGGGTGAGCTCTATATCCTTGCTGTACACAGTTTTTGGAGCAGCGAAGTGTACAACGGCCCCCTCCAACAACTGCAGCATATCACTCCATGGCAAAATGACAGGTGACCACCTAAAATCATTGAGAAATATTACTTCCTTCTCCTCAACACCAAGCCACGCATAAGAACAAGTGGCAGGAGACAGGAAAGCATTGTACACAATTCTTAGTGGGTCTAAAATGAACGTTTTGCCACAGTTCGCTGGACCTGCAATAAAAATGTTACGGCCCTTGCCTCTACCCTTGTCAAGCAACGTCAAAATGGCCTCAGCAAAATCAGCTCTTGAGATGGAGTTGTTTTCAAGAATCTCCAAGGCACATTTGAGCCACTCGCCCTTGCAAATGCAAACAACAGATAACTGCTGCTGTAAAATCTCAAGCCTCGTCATTTTAGCCCGTTGAAGCTTCTCTGTTGCCGTCTCCATTTCCCACATAGTGTCAACCAATTCCTGTAATTTTTTTTCGTTTTTATTCAGAACGAATGCATACAGACGCTCATCACCGTTTCCAGCAGAGGTCTTGGCTAGCGCAAGAAGATCTAAACGAGATTTTACTGCATTTTTTAGGATCATTTTGGCCACATCGGAATTGCATAGACGCTTGAGCTGTTTCGATGGTTTACAACCCTTCTTTGCAGATCTAGCCTTTGTGGCCTTTGCAGTTTTTGGAGCAGCTACCTCTGGATGGTTCTCACTCTTGATGAAACCCTCATCCTCCTTGGTGACATAGTTGAAGGCAGTATGATACCCTGAATGTCCGGAAAAATTCACAATAATGTGATGGTGATCTTGGATATACTTTTTTACTTTTAACCACCTTTGACATTTATCGAGTAAAATACACATATGAAAATGGTATGCTCCATTTTTGTGTTTTTCCATACAGCATGCCCATTGTATTACGGCGACTTTTGTAGCTGCCACCGTAAAAGACTCGGTTAAAATAGCTGAGAATTTTTCTCTGTCGAATAGCTCAATGTTTGCGTTACTATATGTTATAAGGTAAACTTTTCTTAAAACACTTGTAGGTAAGATTTCTGGAGCCCCCTCGTCGCTAACTTCAATTGCACTTGCCATATCGATTGTTTCAATTTTACAACTGCATTTACAAATTTTACAACTGAAGATTGTGTTTGAAAAATTGACTTTTGTTGTCTCAACCTCCTTATCGCGTAGCCTCATTTCAGACTTGGAACTGTGATAGTTTCTTTGTATCATATTAAAAACCCAATACCATTAACACTAAAGAAATGTGTTGTTAACAAAGTATCTTCGTTGCCCATTAAGACTATTTGGCCTCTAACAACATGTATGCTTTGTAATAGTATTCTGAACAAGCAAAACTGCGCACATTTATTCCGTTGCTCCAGCTTTTACACTGTCAAAAAGGTATACTTAATATTATGCAAATACCCTAGGAATTGCAACATTCATCTCAATAAATTCGCAAAGGCCATATTTACTTTATATTTACTTATATTTACTCTATCTATAATATTTTATACATTATATTGACTTCCGATGGCGACTTCGTGCGTAAGTCGCTAAAAAATGAAATTACCCTTGTAAATCATTGAACTGGTCCAGAATTTGGTTTCAAAAATGGCAGAAATGAACTCATCGCCACCGAATACCCTGGGGTAGATATAGGTTTTGATATCATATCTATTAGTTTTAAGAATTATACTCAGACAATCTCTGCCAAAACTCCTTGGAACACCTACGTATTTTGCTAATTTTTTGCTTTTTTCGTATATTTCCCGTGTTTCTAATAGACAAACCCCCCTCCCCCCCTAAAACAATGTTGCTTACAATGCAGTTTATCAGGGCGATCGGTAGAAAAAGGTTTGCCACAAAAGTATGTCTTAACTTAGCTGTGAGACAACATTGTTTGAAGGGGGGGAAGGGAACGGATGCATGAAAACGTTGAAAATATTACAAGTGTTCCAAGAGTTTTGGCAGTGATTGAACTCTATGTTTTATAAATCTTTCACATCAGCTGCAACTTGCCATGGCCAGAAACACGAAGCACATGTTAAAGAGCTTTGTATAATTTTACTGAAAGATAAAGGTATCAATGCTCAAGTTTCTGAAGTTGGTCTGCAATTGTCTTCCTCATTTCCTTATCTTGGTGCTTCATTAGATGGTGTAGTCACTAACAAAAATGAAACATGGGGATTGGAAATCAAATGTCCATTTTCCAAGTACAACATGTCTCTTCAAGAAGCTCTGAAGGATAAGAAGTTCTTTCTTGTTGAAGATGGTGGTAATTTTGAGCTGAAGCGCAAGCATGCATACTTCTACCAAGTTCAAGGCCAAATGTTTTGTGCAAACTTAAAGAGAGTTGATTTTGTAGTTTGGTTTGGAACTGGGAGGCTATTGTT